TTCTTTTTTTTTTTCAGTAAAATGATTTAAAAAAAAAAAAAAATAATTTGAAATTTTAAGACTAATTTTTAGTAATTGATTAATTTTATTTAGTAGTTGTTTCACTGATTTTATTTTCACTATCAAATTCTTATATGTGTATAAATCACATTATCACTCTTACTGTAGATAATTGTACATATTCATTTGACAATTAAAAATCATTTGCAATTGTGTTGACATTGTATCATTAGTTTTATTACAGATAATTTTATACGTTCAAATTATTTGAAACAGTTTCGTGTACCTCTTGCAAAAAATTATCTCTCTGTAATTTTAATTCGAGCAAATACGCCAAGAAATGACTTCATGATAAACCTTGCGTATCAAATACACAAGATCGCACACAAGACGTGAGCAATTCTATTACTTTGCGTAATAAGATTAAATAATAGATATATATAAATAGTTTATCGAAGGAAAGTTCCAGGCTATCGCCTTTAAAATCAACTAGCCAGCTCGGTTAGCGTCCCTTTGTGAAAAGAAACTTCGGTTTAGTAATTTCCATGCATAAATTCCACTTCCGACCGCGCGGCACACTTTCCGCGTTCAAGTTTCCCTATCTCTACGCTGTATTACAAAATACGCCCACGTTTCGATAATATGCAAAACAGAGGTGTCGCAATGATAAACGTTTCGTCTTATCACTTGATTGTAATTAAACGCTGTGCATGCTGACCGAAATATAATGTACGCATATACGACCTAGTTTAACAAAAAAAAAAAAAAAAAAAAAAAAAAAAAAGAATTAGCAAAGTGGCCGAAACGAAAAATGGCTCTTATTAATATTCAGACATCACGATACTCCAGATCTCATTGCTTTATACGTGCATTTGTTTATAATAGTGTTGCTGAATTAATTATTTTCTAACATGTCGAAACACTTGTTGTTGCAAAAGAAATGGCGAAAAATAACGACAAAAATTAAATAATTAAAATTAAATTCGTATTGATCTTTATGTATATTTTGAATATATGCGTTTTGCGCGTAATATACTTTAATAATAATTTGATCGATTATGTGAAATTAAATTTTCAAATTTTTGTCGCGACAACAAATCTGTTACGGTTATTATTTATTATTGTTATTTCTATCCAAGTTGCATGCATCAAACGAATAATCGAGCCGTTTATTTTGAAAGTGACATAAGTCATTTTACATAATGATGAAAAATGGCGATTCGTTAAGGTCTGCGTAAAATTATTTGTACTAAGAGAAATGTAAGTATCCTCTCGAAAGGGTTAAAAATTTAAAAACAAAGTGATTTATCAAGCCACTTTCAAGATAAACATTCGATTATACAATTATAAAATATATATAATAGTACATGTTAATAAAATATAATAATATCTTAAAAAGCTGAAATTTAATAAAAAAAGTTTAGGTTAGGTTTAGGTTAGGTTTCTAAATGAAGTATATAGTAATGTCAAATCTGACACAGTTAATGTATTAGAAAGAGTTAATTCAATAACATCGATACAAATGAATAATATATAGAGTGGCTACTGAAAGACTGAATGATATTAAACAAAAATAAACTTTTACAAACTTTTAAATTTTATTATTTTATTTGTAATTTTATTGTTTATTATTATTTTTATTATTATTTATTTATTATTATTTTTATTTATAATTTTATTATTATAATTAATGGATTTTACAATTTCATAACCTACAAAAAGAGAAAATAAAGAAAAGACTGAGAACGAACAAGTTGTGACTTTTTCAAACCCTTCGGTTTTTCCGTGGCCACCCTATATAAGTGAGTAATTTGTCGAAATATCAATAAAAGTCGCTGTTACGTTACTTTAGCCAAGCAGTGCAAGCCGCAAGAATTACGATGCCCATTAAATTACGAAATGCCGGGCGCAATAACATTCTTCACCGATAATTACGCTGGTTGGCGTATTACGATTCGTTATTACAAAAGATCCTATTACCCGGCATCAGCGTGGAACGCCTTCTTTTCTAACGAGACATTTCTCTCTGTTTTTTACGACATTTCCTAGAATACGCGCCTTCGTTAAAACCCCTCCTAATTAATCCGATTCAAAATCCACCGTGAGTGTAACGCTTTTGCACGTTAGAGCGCGCGTAACACCGCGAAAATACGCCATCATCGATCAGCAGACCGTGTACTTACATACGCGATGCCAGTGATGAAACGTATAAACATTCCTCCGTTCCCGGCTCGATTCGAACGATCCAACGCGTGTGCCATTAACATTCGCGCGGCGCTAAAATACTCGGATCCTCTAAATTACGTTTATATTAAATAGCAATTTTGAACGTCTTTGGCACTGAAATACTTATCACGAGTCGTCTTAGGCTCAACTGAGATAATTATGTAATCAAGACCGTGATTTACATTAATTCGGGATATTTGTTATTTTCACGGCAAGAACATTTACAATATGAGTCTTTTCAGACTTGTAGTTTGTTGATACATAATTATAATTAATATGTATTACGGATTAATGAATTTTAATTAATATATATATAACCATAATTAATATATTAATATAATCATAATTAATATATAATCGAATAGTATGTAATTCCGAATTTTCCTTCCATAACCTCTAACATAAGTACATCATTTGACCAACATAATTTTCAATTTTTTCGATCGATATATCGGATTTCATCGTTGCGAATTATGTACGTATTTTCGAAACATCAACGTGAACACGATCTTCCAGGAAACGGTCGGAAACGCGAGACAGTCAAAGAAACTTAAAGCATGAATGAATGGAGATCGACCACCGGGGTTTAAAAAGGGCTCGTCAATGGCCGCTGTCGAGTGCTAAAAAAAAAAAAAGAAGTCGCTCTCGAATCACTATTTTCCCCTAGCCTGACGCGGCGACGAAATGTAGCAACGGACGGCATGCCTGCGTGCATTACCCGAAGTGGAAATCGCGAGTCGATCGCAAGCGATATTTACATCATCGATACGTGGAAACTACGAGAGAGATGCTAGAGAAAGAGAGAGAGAGAGAACACGGTAAAAGTTGCACGCGACGTCAAAGACGTTCGCAAGAGGTTAATGCGATGCGTGTTGCCGCATCGAAAAATCGTTACACCGATAGTTGTCGGTGGGTATTCGTAGGTAAGCGATCGCGAAACGCCCACGCATTGGAACACGCGCTCGACCACCGAGCATCGGGAATCTCGGTGAGGTTACATCGACGAAAGATGCTTCTCTAACGAATATGATTCTTTCAATGCTGGAACTACGACTAAACTACGATTAAAATCGAACTGATGGATGAAAACGATATGTATCGTTCGAAATCCACCATCGATATGCACTTATCGTTGTGATCCCGAAAATCAATGAAACTGTTATAATTTAATAATTTCGACTGCTGTGATAGTTCCAACGTGAGTAAGGAAACACGTATGTACGTA